GAGGAAATGTCCATGTAACAACTTGATAGGAGATAGTTAACCTGGAGAAAAAAAGGTGACAGGTATAGTACTTGCCACTGTGCCACCTAGCTGCCCCGAAGAAAGCATTTTTTAAAAAAGCCCTTTGTTGGGGCAGCTAGGTGGTGCAGTGGGTAGAGCACCGGCCCTGGATTCAGGAGGACGAGTTCAAATATGACCTCAGACACATAGTAACACTTACTAGCTGTGTGACCCTGGGCAAGTCACTTAACCCCATTGCCTAGCCAAAAAAGAAGAGAAAAGAAAAAAAGCTTTTTCAGAGAAAGGGTAGACCCACTGCTTAGGAAAGATGGTGTAATGTTAAAGGGACAAGGAAAAAAAGTGGAGCTATTTTCCCCCCTTCATGATAGGGAATGATCATCTGATTAAGAAGAGTAAGATGAAAGGATTGGAGAAAAAGATGGAGAAGGAGCTAGTGAGACAGCACCTAGAGATTCTAATGCTAGAAATCATAGGAGCAGGATAGTGATGGGGGGAGACCAGGCACAGGAACAGAAGGTGGCAGGTATAGGGGCAGGAGAAAGGGACATGATCGTGGTCCACAAGTATTTGAGGAGCTGTCATGTGGAAAAGAAATTAGATTTGTTCTCCTTGGAACATTGGTGAGGAGCTGCCCAAGGGCAGATTTAGGCTCAAGATGAGGAAAAATTTCTTAAAATTAGAATTTTTCAAAAGTAGAATGGACTACGTAATTTTGAATTCCTCTTCTCTGAGAGGTTTTATTTTTTCACGAATCATTTTTTAATTCATTTATTACCTGTGCACAACGAAAATAGCTGATGAATCCAAAAGGAGCAGTTTTATTCTCTGTGGAGTTTTTTAAACAGAGATGGGTTAACCACTTGGGCATATTTCAGAGGGGATACTTATCCAGGTTCCTGTTGGACCAGATGACCACTGAGGTCCCTTCCAAGTCTGAGGAAATATGGTTCTGTAAATGAGGACAAGCCTCTAGATCTTGAGGAATTATTCTGAGTGTTTAAAAAGAAAAAGAACTTAAAGGATTATTTATTGTGATCTCTGAGGAATTAGACTTAGGGAAAATGGAAGAGAGACTGGAAGGCTAGGGATGGGGGAAATGTTGCCCCTATTTTTTTTTTAAGGGAAAGAGTATTCCGCAAACTGTATACAGGTCAGCATAGTATCAATTCCAGACAGATTCTGTAGTGTTACTTAGTGGCAGTTTGATGAGCACTTAGAAAGAGAAATGTTAGCTACTAAGAGCCAAAATCGGCTCACTAAGAAAGTTATGACAGACTAACCTCAGCTGCTTTTGAGAGTGTTATCAGAGGGACAGATTAGCAGGAGACATTTATTAAGTGTATGTTGTGTTCCAGGGACTGTGCTAGGTGCCAGAAATACAAAGACAAAACTATGAAATGATCCTTCCTTCCAGTGAACTTTCATTCCTATTACAGGAGATAACACGCACATACATACGTCATAGAGAAGAAATACAGAATAAATACACGGTAGTTAGGGAGAGAGATCCACCAGCAGTTGAGGGAATCAGGAATGGCTTCAGTTTTATGAGGTATAAGGAAGACAGAATTGCGTTCCAGGCTGTGGGGAAAAAGAGACATTCAGAGCAAAGGCTCAAAGAAAGAGACAGAAAGTGTAACGCCATGTTTGAAGGGAGAGAGAAGACCAATTTGGCTGGACCAGAAGAGTGGGAGAAGAAAGAGTAATACATAATGATCCTGGAATGAGAAGTTGGGGCCAAGTTGTGAAAGGGTTTAAAACCCAGGAGAACTCATATTTCATCTTGTAGGTATTGGGAGCCAGTGGAGTTTGAGTAGAAGTTTAATATGATCACATTTGCACTTAAGGAAAATCATTGTTGTCAGTTATATGGAGGATCCTATTGGAATGGGGAGATATGATGTACGAAGACCAGTGAGGAGGCCAGTGCAGCAGTTCAGGTGAAGAGTAATGAAGGCTTGAATTAAAGAGATGATTGTGAGTAGAGAGAAGGAGTGAGATTCAAAAGATGTTGTAGAAGCAGAAATGGCCAGATTTGGCAACCGATTGCATTATCAGAAATGAGGGAACATGATGAGTCCAGGCTACACCAGGGTTTTGAACCTGGGGATCTGGAAGAATGGTGGAAGTTCAGGAGAAGGGAAGGTTTGTGGGAAAGACAGTAATTTCTGTTTTGGTTGTGTTGAGCTTGAAATAGCCATGAACCAAGAATCTAGAGGATGAGGATGAATTATGCCACCCCTCTCTTGATAAAGAGATGATGCACTCCAGCTGCAGAATAAAACAAGTATCTTGATCCACAGCCAGTATAGGAATTTGTTTTGCTGACTGTACGTATTTGTTACTGTGACTTTTCTTTGTCAGTGTGAGGTGAGGGTGGGAGGATAAGGGAGAATAGGGAAGGGATAGGAAAAAAACGAAACAAAAGAGACCCACTGAGGTATGGCAGTTTTGCTTGTTTTGTTTTGTTTTGTTTTTTAATTCAGAGAACAGAAGGAAGCACAGATAGGCAGGGCAGCTTTGAAAGCTACAGAAATTATGATTATACTTAAAAAGAAAAACAAGCTATACACCATGGAGATCTGCAGTCTCCTGGACAGTCCTCTTTATTCTGCAATGTTTCTGGAAATATCCATTTTGTCTGTGGTTTGTTCAGAATAAATTTTTAAAAAATTTTCTAAAGAGAGAGAGATATCTCTGTGATACTCAGTTTAAAATGTCCAATCAGTAATTTGTGATGTGAAACAAGAGTTCAGGAAAGAGACTGTGACTATTCTGAACAGATAGATCTGAGAGTTATCTGCATGGAACTGATAATTAAACCCTTAAGAGTCAAAAAGGTTGTTGAGGAAGTATAGAGAGAAAGGAGGAGAAGTCCCAGGACAGAGCCTTGGGGTGCACCCAGTATTAAGGGGCATTGCATGGGTGCAGAACTGGCAAAAAGAGACTGAAAAGGAGTGGTGAGCCAAGTAAGAGATTCAGGAGAGAGTAGCATCCTGAAGATCCATGCAGAAGTAGAGGGTGGTCAGCAGTGTATACAGCAGCAGAGAAGTCAAGGAGGAATCAGAAGGCATTGACTAGCCCTATATAGCTAAAGAACATTCATTCAGTATCAACTTAGTGGAAGTACCCGTAGTGTTATGCTGCGAAGCTCTGCCCTCTGCCTTGTTCTGGTCTATATTGTATCAGCAGCTTAGCTGAAAGCATAGATAGCATGCTTACCAAATTTGCAGATGACATCAAAATGGAAAGGAAAGCCTAATATCTGGGATGACAGAATGAGGATCCAGAAAGGGCTTGCCTGACCAGAACGCTGTGAGCTGAATCTTAACAAGGTAAAATTTATTAGGGGTAAGTGTTAAGTCCTATATTTAGATTTTTTTCCCCAAATCAGCTGTTCAAGTACAAGATGGGAGGAGATTTCTGAATGTCAGTTCATGTGAAAAAGACTTGGGTGTTTTTAGTTGACTGCAAGCTGAGTATATAGAATTCAGTAGTGTGGCATAAGGCACAAAAGGCTAATGCAGTCTGAAGTACAAGGCCTAAAACAGAGATGATAATCCGCTTCTGAAGCATTGTATTTAGTTTTGGATGCCACAGTTTAAGAGACTGAAGCGATAGAACCTGTCTAAAATATTAGAATCACAGAACTTCAGAACCGGAAGGGACCTGAGCAGCCATCTGATACCACCCATGCTCAGAAGAGTCTCCCAAATAGACAGGTGGAACCCCTGCCTCTGCTTGGCGCTTTCCAGAGAGGGGAGCCCACCGGCTCCCAGGGCAGCCCACCCCACTTCTGGAAAGCCCGGCTCCCAGGGCAGCCCACCGCACTTCTGGAACGCCCGGGCTATCAGGAGGGTTTTCTTGACGGTCAGCCGAAGTTCCCTTTTTGTAACTTCCACCCATTGCTCCTAGCTCTGTCCTCTGGGGCCACGCAGGACAAGTCTAATCCTTCTTCCACGTGGCAGCTTTTCAAGTCAAGGAAAGTGGCCAGAATGGTGAGAACCCTTAAAACCGTATTTGTGTGCAGATCTGGTGAAGAGCCCAGCTTCTAGAAAAGAGTATTTGGTGGGGAGGTATGTAGGTATTTGAAGAGCTCCCCTGAAAGAAAGATCAGACTTCTTGAGTGGGCAGAACCAAGACAGGTGGGGTAGAAGGCACAAGGAGGCACATTTTAGCTGAAGGTGAGAGTTTTCCATCAACTAGTGCTGCCCCGAAACGATGAGATGCGACCTTCATACGCGAGTTAATATGAGCAGAGACTGGATGACCTTGTTGTGCAGGGGATTCATGCTGTAGATAAGGCTTCCCCAGATGACCTCTGAGGGCCCTTCTGATTCTGAGATTCTGTGATTCTAGTGGGAGGTGAAATGAGAATGCTGGGCTGGGGTCAGACTGTACGAGGCCTTGATTGACGTCTATGAGAGTGTAGTCTGCTCAGTAGACGGGAACCACTGAGAGTGTTTGAGCAGGGAGGTGACTCGTGCCAAAAGCCCCGTTTTAAAAGAAGTGGCTTAGTTTAGTGGAGCCTCAGATTCAGGAAGGCCTGGATTTACGTCCCACTTCTGCCGTGTGCTGGCTCTTTGACCCTGGGCCTCTGCCCTTTCACTTGTTCGCTTGTCCTCCCAGGCAGCTGGCTAAGGGTCAAGTCAGTAAGCACCTGCTATGAGGCAAGCATTGTAGAGAAGGTGCTGCCTTGTATTGATGGAAGAAGTTCCTCACAGGGAGCCCCCTACCCTGATGAAACCACAGGTGTAGTCCCCCCCCCAAAAAAGTCTGGCATTGTGGTGTGTAGTATTGAGTGGAGCAGGGAAAGATTAGACCTGGGGACACCAATGCAGAACTACTCTTTTGCCTCCATACCCCATTGTTCCCAAGCTGAGCTGTTGAGCCTTAAGCTTCTTTTCTCTGCTAAAATGAGAGAGGACCAGAAACCCCATTGCAGCCTACCCCATCACTTTGGGTCTTCTGCTCCCCAGGAGCTGATCCGGAAAGGCATTCCTCACCACTTCCGCGCCATAGTGTGGCAGCTTCTCTGCAGTGCCACAGACATGCCGGTGAAGAACCAGTACTCAGAACTGCTCAAAATGTCTTCTCCCTGTGAGAAACTGATCCGTCGAGACATTGCACGTACCTACCCTGAGCATGAGTTCTTCAAGGGGCAGGACAGTCTGGGCCAGGAGGTCCTCTTCAACGTCATGAAGGTAAAGGTCTCCTTGGGGATCATTTCTTCCACAGAAATCTCGGGAGTCAGCTTTCTGGCCCCTCACTTCCTTCAAAATCTCACTGAGAAGAGATTTATTTTTTTCGGTATATGGCCATAAGTCTGGGATACTGAGTCATGGGAGGTAGCTGGTTTCCAGTGTCTGTTTTTAATCACTCTTTCAGGAAGATCCTGAAGCTCTTATATCTTATGTCTTGATTTTCTTATAGCCCAAGCTGACTTCTGCAGAAGGAATCAGTAGTCTCTGCTCCCCAGTTCCCGGGGCTGCTGGCGGATGCATTGTTACTATTCTCTTCTCTTCCAGGCTTACTCCCTGGTGGACAGAGAGGTGGGCTACTGTCAAGGCAGCGCTTTCATCGTTGGCCTGCTTCTAATGCAGGTTAGTGGCCTGGCCCCTGAACCCATGGCAGCTGACTACTCTGCTCTCCCCTTGTTAGATACATCACGTGTGTATCTCTCACCCTGGGAATCCCTGGCTTCTGTCGTTATTTTATTTAGTTGTTTGGCTTCACTGGGGTGGAGTGGTAGAAGCATTTGGCTGTATTGTGTTAGTGCTTCTATCCTATTGATGGTGGCCCCAGAGAACTACCCTGTTTGTCCACTTCTACATTCTTTGATGGAAACACAGGCTGAGCATCAATAGCACGTGGAGACACGATATGGCACTGAGCTGGTCCCTGTGTAAGAATTTTCTGACTTGTGCAATCTAGTGGAAGGACGGAGGGTGGAAATGCCAAATAGCAGTCATTCTTTCTCTGTCCTCTTCCAGGGGCTTGAAGGTAACTTAGGATGGGCATTTTGGAGGCAGTGTTGAGGGGAGAATCTGAAGGAGGGGTCGGCCCCATTGGGCCGTAGGAAACTCTTCTGGGTGAGAAAGAAGGGCTAGCAGTAGGACCGGGAACAAAAACGTGGAAAAAATAAACACTCTAGTATTTGGAAGGCAGACCGTAGGAAGTCATAGCTCTGTGTCTGCCTTTTGGGTACTCAATAACTAGCTTGATCGGCACAAGTGATGTTAAATATAGCTCTTCTCTGCCCCTGTGTGCTAGCAGAGGCCCAGTGAGGGATATGAGAAGCATAGGACATTACCCCTATCTGTGAGCAACCTCTAATCTTGTCTGGAACCCAGTTCAATACAGTGTCTTTCTCCTTTTCACCCTAGATGCCTGAGGAGGAGGCATTCTGTGTATTTGTGCGGTTGATGCAGGAATATCGTCTACGGGAACTTTTTAAGCCTAGCATGGCTGAGCTGGGGCTCTGTATATACCAGTTTGAGTACATGTTACAGGTGAGGTCTGGGACATAAACTGGGGTGATTTGTCTTTTTGGTGAAGGTCAAATCCTTGATTCTGATGTTTTTTCGGTTACATTAAGCCCTATTAGCTGAATCCTTCACCAACTCAAGAACAGCCTGCCCGGGTGTCCCATGTAAGAAAGGCCCCAATCTGAGCACCAGGCTCATGAAAATCCAGGAGGATTCAGATAACTACTGAGAAGCCAAAGTTGCTTCCCCTGCCTTCCTGGATCTTAGGCTTTCCTGTCCTTGTTTCTGGAAGTTCTTTAAGGATTACAGAATTTAGAGTGAAGGAAGTACTTGAAACTCTGTCTCTTGTCCATGTCAGATTGTGTGGCCTGGCTTCATCATGTAGGGAAACCTTACCTGTGAGTTAACTATACCTTCTCTGTTCTGTCTCCCTTTTCTCCTCTATTCCTCCTTTTTTTGGCAACATGCTGTAAAAAACAGCTTTTCTGAAGGAAGTTACTTTGAGGAGGTGCCTTACTGTGAAGTATACACCTCTGTATTGCTTTGAGCCTTTTCTTTCTCCCTTAGAAGGGAGTCTGACTCTGCCTGACCCTGGTTTCCAAAGCCTTTTGAAAGGGAGACACTGGACTGGGTTGATTGAGGAAATGCCCAGAGTGATGGTTCTTTACTGTGTCTCTTTAGGAAACAAGGTTAAAAAATATGGGGGGGGGGGGAGAAGAGAGAGAGAGAGAGAGAGAATGACCCAGACGTTCCTCCTCCCCTCCCTTCCACTCTGTTTCTATGTGTAACAGGGAAAAATGTCTACCCGCCTCTGCTTATTAAAGTCGAGCTGGCAGACGTCTTTGTTTATAAATAGCAGCCCCCACCCTGCTCATGGCTGCTAGACAGAGCTGTGTAAGTCGGCCCATTCAGGAAGCCAGATGCAGGTGGAGTGGGCTATTGGGCCCCCTCAGGAGCAAGGAGAATAAGGTGAAGGGAGAAGGAAAGGCCTTACCATAATCTCTCTTCCTGTCCCAAGGAGTAGCATTAGAGATGGTTCTGAGAAAAAAGAAAGATTCTGTTGATCCAGGTGTCTGAACAGCCTAGGCTTCTGGTGTTCCAGTTACATCTGGCCTCTAAAGTTGATTTCCATTTCTTCCCCTTAATAAAAAAACTACTTTATCCTTTGTCCTCTCTACCAGGAATGTTATGATTTTTAGGTCAGTTAACCAAGAAGTTCTAAAGCTGAGTATGTAACGCAGTGTTATCCTAGGAGTCAGAAAGCTCCTCATCTGGGAGGAAGTCTGCAAAGGTGACGGGGGAATGGAGGGGGGCAGATGATTGGAGCACTAGACTGACTCTGCTTCTAGCTCCAACAAAGATACCCTGGAGGGCCCTAACAATTTCCTAATGCCCTGCTCCATCTTTCCCTCCTTTGGCATCTAATTTCCCGAAAATCTATGATTAAGGATAGGAATGTGACAAGAGGATATATGTCATGTAATGGGAAGGAAGGAAGGACCATGGGAAGAGAAGGATAAATTTAAACATGTAACATTAGAAAGAGGTATATGGAATTGATATGCCCAAAGGGTTTTGGGTAGAAAGAATAAGAACTGATGTAGAAGCCTAAGGAAGTTGGGTACTAACTGGAACACGAGCTATGCTGATGATGGAGTGGCTAAAACGTGTTTATACAGGGCTAATGATTGAGCTCTGATTGGGGTCAGGGTGGGTTGTATTAGAGTTCTGTCTTGGGGAAACTGTGGGGAGCGCTGGGACTTCTCTTGTCTTCTTTATTTTCTGGCAGGAGCAGCTTCCAGACTTGAATATCCACTTTCGATCCCAGAGCTTCCATACCTCCATGTATGCCTCATCCTGGTTCCTCACACTCTTCCTCACAACCTTCCCCTTGCCGATTGCCACCAGAGTCTTCGACATCTTTATGTATGAGGTGAGGGCTAAGGTTCAGTGGGACTGGGTGAAGGGGAGAAATCAGAGTGACCTAGATCAGTGTCAATAGGCCCTAAAATAACAGCTCAGTTCTCTTCTTTGCTAACTAATTCATGATTTTCTCTTTTTCTCTTGAGTTTCTCTACCCTTGCTATGCTTGCCATCTTCTGCTCCTTTTTTTTTGGTCTTTTTCCAACTTAATACCATCTTTTCCCCCCATCCTGCTTCTACCTGATTGACATTTCAAATGTAACAGAGACCTAGGACCTAGACCTAGGTGAGAAATAGGTGGAGCCAGCATCTCTGGCTCTCATTGTAAAAACAGGCAACTTCTTCCTGTTGCAGGGACTGGAAATTGTGTTCCGGGTGGGTCTGGCCCTGCTGCAGGTGAACCAGATGGAGTTGATGCAGCTGGACATGGAGGGCATGTCACAAGTGAGTGGGAGGAGGGAGTAACTGTGAGCCTTATGCAGACAAGATTCACATTTTACACCTAGAAAATTTATTAAAATGAGGCAGGAACCTGGCTTAGGAGAAAGGAGGAATTAGATCATCCCCAAGACTTTTTCTTTTTAACATATCTAGGAATCTGAAGGCTATTTCAGAGACCTTCCTGGTGGAGGTAGTGAACAAATAACTGAAGGAGGAGCAAGAGAAAATGAATTTGCTAGTCAGGCCATTCTTGGCATACAGGGCAAGAAGGGAATGCAGAGGGCATAGAAAAGGAGGGTAGAACACATTGTTCTGTCTTCTGCCTCCAGCTTGGGTTCCCTGAAGCCACATGCTGCAGAATGTGCTTTACAGTAAATTAGAATAATCAAATAGACGTGGCATTGGCCATGGTTTCTGTCTTGGATGGCCTAGCCAATAGGTCAGACCCAGGAGAAAGAGAATCAACAATCCTGGGACAGAGCCTTATTGGGGGAAGAGGTTGATTTTCCACCTCTCGCCCCCCTCCACTCCCCCCAATGTTTCCCAGCTGGTGTTTCAGGGAAGAATACACAAAGGCAGCAGTTGTGTCCACAGACACAGGGGGATCCGTTGTATTCAGCCTGAGAGGCCAGCTTGTGGTGGAAGAACAGGAGCCAATCTCCTTGAATCCCCTTCCCTCCCCCACCTCCTGTTGCCAGCCTGCCCTAAGCTGTGCTGGGCTTTTTAACCCTTTTGATGGGGGCTATAGGGGCCCCAAGGCTCTTCTTCTCAGTGCCCTGCCATCTCAAGGACTAGATGACTAGATGACTTTGGGGGAGGAATGTTCTCCTTCTCAAATCCCAGCTCACTCTAGCTTTCTTTAAGACAAAGTTCGTCCCTCTTTGCTTCAAGGCTCTTTCCAGGTGTATGCTATCTCAGATTTCTACTTTGCTCAATTTAACTTTGATTCAGTTAAACATTTGAGCTCCTGTGGTATGCCCAGTACTACCCTTAGGTACTTCCAGCCTTTTGCCTTGTCTCCTTCATGCCTTCCTCCTTTGTGAGAGCCTTTTTCTCAGTGTGCCTACCTACCCCTTTTTTTGCTTTATCTTCCTCCTGATGTCTTGTGTTTGAAAAATTTGGCTCTCAGCCTAAAGGAAGCTTTAGAGAGCTATAGGAACCTGGAGTAATCTGACTAGCCTTATCATTCTTTCTTCTACATTTCTTTTCCCTCTCAAACTTAGACAATCAGTTGTTTGGGTTCTTTGTGGATCTTGGTCTCTTGAAGGACAGATTCTTTCATACTGTGTCTTAAATCAGCCCTGATCCAGAGAATAGCTGGATTGAGTGATAATCTTGGGTTTGGGGAACTGGAAAGGGGAGGAATTAGGATGCTGTCTGCCATTAACCTTCTAGGGTGGTGGCTTGTTTTTGTGTGGTCCCAGCAAGTTAAGAATAGCTTTTACATTGGCAATAAAGTTTTATTGTGTTAAAAAAAATGTATAAAAGCCATTCTTAGCTGCCCACTGGCTGAAATCGCAGACCCCTTGCTCTAGAGAAACAGGAGGTATCGGTAGGGGTTGGGGGTGACTGGTGACTATTACTCTAAAGGGACCCTGAGGGGTTCCATGGTGGGAGGGGTAGCTGTGACTGGGTGTGTCTCCACAGTACTTCCAAAAGGTGATACCCCATCAGTTTGATAGCTGTCCTGACAAGCTGATTCTCAAGGCCTACCAGGTCAAGTACAATCCCAAGAAGATGAAAAGGTCAGTGTGTGGGACTCTCAATCCTTGGGGAGTAGTTGGGGTGGGCCAGGAGCTCCTAATCAGGAGTTTCTCAGAAAGAAATGAGGTGCAACAGGAGGGGTAGAAGAGGGGATGCTTGACTAGAACTGAACTGGAGTTGTCTTTCTTTATAGGTTGGAGAAGGAATATGCTGCCATTAAAAACAAAGAGATGGAGGAGCAGATAGAGATAAAAGTAAGTTCTTGACCCCTAGGATTATTCCTTTCCACCCCAAATTGAGCCTTACCTAGCAGTTCTCCCCCTGTGGTGGCATTGATTTTTCTTTGATGTAGGGATCAACCCCAGTCATTTGATCAGTAGACCTTGGGAGGAGAGATAAAAATGCCAAGGGTTGGAAATATTTCTAGCACCTCAGTGACTGAGACTGCTCCTCTTCCTTCTTCTTTGTCATGTGTCAATGTCCTGTGTAAACCATGAAGTAACAGCCTGCCCCTAGTTGGAGATTACCAAAGCACTTCAAGATCTGCAATAGTTCTATTCTCTCTTAGAGTCCCCGTTTCCCACTAACTCAGGGGTCAGAAACCTCTATAGCCCAGTAGGGCTGAGGAAAGGCCCCGGCAGACCTGTCATAGAGGGAGGGGAGAAAGGTTAACCTGGGGGAAAAGGAGATAAGAACAGCATGATGTGGTCCAAAAAGCTCACTTCATCTTAGACTGTGCTGAGGGACATAGGATCCAGAACAGAGGAGGGGATCATTCTCCTGTCCTTGGCCCTGGCCAGCCCCAGCTACAGGATCACAGTCAGCTCTGGGCATCACATTTTAGGAAGGACGTTGACAGACTGGAGTGCAGCCAGAGTGAGTCCAGGCCACCATGATGGTTCAGGGCCTAGAAGGCTAGGCCACTTAAGAGTTGTCTGAAGGAACTGAAATGAGTTTAGAGGAAGAAAGATCGGGAGGGAAGCAGGACAGCTGTTTTCAAGTTGTTGAAGAGCTTTCATGTGTAAGATGGCTTTGGACATGCTCTGCTTGGCTCCAGAGTGCAAAACTAGGAATAGTAAGAGGAAGTTACAAAGAGGCAGTCTTAGGCTCAGGGCAGGAAAACCTGCCTAAAAGAGCTGTCCAAATGATAAGGGGTTTGCCTTGAAGTATAGTATGTTCCCCATCGCAGCAAGTTTTCAAAGAAAGAATAGATAACCATCAGTTGGGGATATTGTAGAAGCGGTGGGACCTTCCAACTCTGGGATTCTGTGCTGGTAGTAACAAAGTGCTCCTCGTTGGCACCTCTACCTTAGGTTGTCCATCAGCTCTGTGCCCTCACCCCTGTTACAGCTGCCAAACTGATCAGCCTTTCATTAGAGGGCACCCCTGGCCCAGCTCTTAGTTACAAAGATAATGATGATTTTTGCATGTTTCTATAGGGCTTTACAAAAATGAATCTACATATATTCTCTCATTTGGTACTCTCACCAAGACTGTGAGTTAGGTAGGTTACAAAGTATATTATCTGCATTTGGAAGATGAGGAAACTGAGAACCCCAGAAATAAAAACTTGCCTGAATTCATTCTGTTACTTACTAGTCATATGACCCTGCCAATCCAGTGATTCAGTGAGTTTGTGAAAAAGGAAATGACCTGCCTAAGGTTTCACAGCAGGTAAATGTCAGGAACAGGACTTGAACCTAGCTCTGACGCTAAACCCAGAACTTTGACTACTATACTATAGCTTCTCCTTTTATTCATTCATTTGTTCATTGCTTAATAATTATTTATTAAGTGCCTACTGTGTGCTAATCATTGCACTTAGTGCTGGAGATACAAAAAGAGGCAAAAGACAGCCCTGGTGACCACTCTCTAGTAAGGAGATTCCTAGTGGACTAAGGGTCAGGCAGCTAGGTGGTGCAGTTAGAGCACCAGGCCTGGAGTTAGGAAGATATGAGTTCAAATCTGGCCTCAAATATTTACTAGCTGTGTGACCCTGGGCAAGTCACTTCACCCTGCCTCAGTTTCTTCATCTATAAAATGAACTGGAGAAGGAAATGACAAACCACTCCAGTATCTCTGCCAAAAAACAAAACAAAACAAAAAAAAAACCCAAACAAACTAAACAAAACACCGAAAGAAAAAAAAAAGAAAAGAAATCCCCAGCTGGGGTCATGAGGAGTCAAACGTGACTGAAACGACTGAACAACACCACTAGGATAAGGGATTGGACTAGATGACCTTTAAGGTCATCTCTTCTACCCCTGGGATTTTGTGACTAGGACGTAGGTTTAAACTAAAGCAGAAAGGTCAATTTAACCATGAGTTAGAATTGGTGACCAAGGAGGCTTTGAAATCTCCTGAGTTCATGAAAGGACCCTCCATACTGTTGATTTGGTAGTGGTAGAATAAGCTCTGCTTTAGGACAGGTAGATGGTCTAATTGAGCAGGGTAACTCACCCCTCATTCACATAATCCCTCACATTTGGGAAGGAATAAGAGTCAGGGAAAGAGAGATGGCAACGGAAGCCTTAGCTTCCTCATCTGGAACTACGACTTCCTTGACCAGCTTCTTGGGAGGATTCTGGGAGAACACTTTGTAAACCCTAAAGCATTATATAAATGTCAGCTGTTTTTCTTCATGTAATAAGCTTTTTTACATGATGTTTTGCTAAGTCACATTTGACCAAACTGCCCAGTTGCAGCTTTCAAAATAAGCCCTTTTTTCTGCATGGAGCAAAAGCAGAGGCTAAGAAAATGAAAGGAAGATGTTCTTATAATATCTGTCATCTGTGGGAAGGTGTATAGTGATCAAAAATATTGAAGACATATGATGAAAGTATGAAAAGGGAATGATTTTTAAATCTGAGAATCAAAACCAAGTTTTCACCAGTGCAAATACTTGCCATAATGCAGCAAAGGCTCTCTGGTTTATTCATTTACTCACCTGGTCTGTGAAACAGTTCCTTGGCTCCACTCTTCATCAGTTGGAGACGTTTAAAGCCCACTCACCCTTTCTCTCCTCAAACCACTTTTTTTCTGGCCAAGTAGAGACAGGTCTTGGAACCTACTTTCTTGGGGGATGTCCCCCTTGGATACTACAAATTTGAGTCCCAGCTTTGTGGGGTCTCAGGGAGGTAGTTGCCAAGGAAGGTGTGAGTGATTTTTACCAGCTGCTGCAGTAGACAGATACATATGTGTATACATATATATAGACATATACATACATGTATGTAGACCTATATACATGTATATTCCTGAAGTTCATACATTCATTTGTTTATACATCGTATACATTTATACATTCATTCTTCGCAAAACCACCCCAGGTCCATCACCAATAGTAATAACTTACGCTTATAAAGCACTTTTTAGATTCTTTTAAAAATCGCTATCACATGTATTATCTCTTTTGACCCACATAGAAACCCTTGAGGTATAGTAGTTAAAAAAAAAATCTCTGAACTAGGAATCCAAAAAACTGATTTATGTAGTGTGTGCTCTGGTGCTCAGGAGCCATGTGTCTTTGGCCAAATCATTTATTATAGCTGAGCCTTAGTTTCCTCACCTGTGAAATGGAGACGAAGCCTGCACTACCTAACTTAGGCATATCTTGCTCAGATGAGAGCATGTGTGTGTGTGGAAGTGCTTTGAAAGTGTAAGGAACTAGACAGGTATGTTTATTATTATCTCCCTTTTAAAGATGAGAAAACTGAGGCACCGAAGTGAGAGTGATTTGCTTAAAATCACCTAGCCACTAAAGGGTAGAGCCAGGATTACTGATCTCGGGTCATTGTCTGTACCATGATACCCCATTGCTTTTATCTCTTAGATGCAAAGGAGGAGGAAGGATCAGCCTCCTTTCCCTCTCCCCTTCAGTTTCTGTAGATACTTTCTCAGCTTGTGGCTTCTTTTCTCCTTTGGGGCTGCTTGGTGTGAGGAGAAGGGTACACAAGTATGATTTGTCCAGGATTGCAAACCTACTGAGCGAGGACTCTGTTTGGGGGTCATATGTAGTAGCATTTTAATCCTATCTGCAGCCCTTTTCAAGTTAACTCCTGCCACCCCTATCTACGGAGGGAATGCATATTTATCTCAGTGAGCAAAATGGGAATGGGAAAGTCTATTTACTGATGTGTACATGTGGGCTTATATTTCCATGCCAAATAGAAACAACGTTTTATTATTCCTAGTTTGGATTTATCAATGCCAATGTAGCCTTCCATTAGGACACAGGGTTGAGAATTGATAATAATTTAGCTCTTTGACCTTTCTTTTTGTCTTATATCTCATCCTTTTCATCCTTCAAATTATTTTTGACTGGTCTTTTTCTGAGTTCTTCATGTGCTTCTGAAATTATGGGAATCTGAGAAGACCACAAGAGTGTTATAGAATATGGTCAGGAACTCGTTCAGGAAGAGGGTGCTCTTCTTTTCCCTCAGCTTTTCCCCACAGGGCTGGAAAGTGCACTGTGGGACTAGACCAGCCGAGAACACGGATTCAGACTCAGGGCTCCAGACGGGTAGAATGCGAAGTGCATCAGAGCAGGAGTCAAGAGACCTAGGACTGTGGGCCTGTGGACCTTTGAGCAAGTTCAAGGTCATGGTCTCTTTGGGCCCTCTAGTCCTAAAAGGGAAGGGGCAGTTTTGTGAATCTTAGTGTAGAAATAAAAAAACAGCCAACATTTATTAAATGTCTGAGCTAGTCCCTGGAGGTCCAGGGGAGTGGGTAGAGAGTCCCTTGCCTTCAAGAAGCTGCTCATCTATGCTCCTGGAAGGACTATAACATGTATCAGACAAATATGATACAAGGAAAAGTGAAGAGTGAGAGAGACCGACAACTGAGGAACTCAGCAACAGTATCATAGAGCACGAGATGCGTGAGCTGAGCCTTGAAGGAAGACAGAGAGGTAGGGAGCTGAGGAGGGCACCGTCCAAGCATCCGCAGACAGCTCATGTGAATGATGGAGATGGAGAGTGTTCTTGCTAATTGATCTCTGAATTAAACTGTCTCACTTTTTTAACTGAATGAAAGTTTTTTCCAGAAAAAACCATAGCCATTTGAAAATGAATCAGGGCTATATTTTTCTAAAGTTGTGCAGGATTTCTTTACCCAGAGTCCAGGAACCTGTTTGGAGGTGGGGGGGGAACCAAAACTTTTAACAAACCTATTTCAGTATAATTGGTTTCCTTTGTAAGCTTGTGTATTTTGTTTTATTCATTTAAAAATATTTAGCAGTCCATAGGCTTTACCAGACAGCCTACCAGAGGGGTCCAGGACACACAGAAAGGTTCTGAATCCATGGAATAGACCAGTAGTCTGTCTGGCAGAAATTTTAGGTCAGGACCTTAAAAGGAGATGGAGCCTTCAGAAGAAAATTAGATGATGACCTAGATTAACCACAGGGAATTTGGGGTGGGATCAGGGGAAGGAATCCACTCTAATGTGTTCTCTGCTATCCCTCCCTTGGTGTATAGAGGCTACGGACAGAGAACCGGCTCCTGAAGCAGCGGATTGAGACCCTAGAGAAGGTGAGGAGCGTCCCTGTCCGCCTCCAGCAGCTCTCCCTTTTCCAGAGGGACCTTAGTCCCCAGAAAGCCTCACCTGGCATCCTAAGCTACCTGCGCCCTCCCCTTTGAGCTCTCTGGAGGCTGGGTTATCCAGTTCCATTTCTTGAGGATCCCATCTCCTTTTATTGCTGCATTGCTGAGACCACCTTTGTGGTGGAGGGGACAGTCATTACCCTGAACTGAATGTTGCCCTGTGTCCTGCAAGACCAAGGCCTAGGGTCTGAGTGACCATGTCCTGTAGGCAGCACTTCATGTTGGTTTGTGACAGAGTTCCCACTGTCTTTCACTGTCAGTGATGCTGTGATTTGTATTGTGATATAAAATGAGACTGTGATATAACTTCACTGGTGCTTGAGTGGCATTGTAATTAACCCTTTGGGTTGGTTATGCCATAACTGTTACTGTAAATACCATGATCTATATATAGACATAGAGCAAGATAGATAAGCATAGATATATAAACATATGTAGGTGTGTACATGTATATGTGTGTATATATATGTATACACACACATACACACATATGGAGATAAAGAGAGGGAGAGAGAGTGAGAGAGAGAGAGAGAGAGAGAGAGAGAGAGAGAGAGAGAGAGATAATGCTTCCCTAAATGATGCTAAAACTTCTATCTCAATTAGATTAGGGGTATAGTTGATGTTTTAATTGGATTGCCATGTAATTAGGTGACAATATGCCCAGCACCATAACTTTGACAATTCAATAAATGCTTATTTAAACTATACCACTGCTACTAACAGATTGAAAAACTCCATAGCTTTGATGGTATTAAAAGAGAAGGTGGAGGGGTAGGTCTATGGTGGAGGGGCGTCATAGGCCAATGACCTTCTTCCTCTCCCAGCCTACATTCAAAAGTACCCCTACAGAAGGGCTGAGAAGAGCAACTGGGCCCAGGCTTGCTGTGGACACAACTAGGAACCTTTTCCCTCTTTGATCACTTTGCTAGAGACAGGGAACTTCATTAAGATTCTGTTTTCTTTGTCACATAGCCCAGAGATATGTCGTGATGTGCCAGGGTTTTTTTTTTGGGGGGGGGTATACATGAGGACAAAACAAGAAAAGTAAAACTCTCAAATATTATTTTAAAAAGTAAGAAACTTACATAGAGAATAAAAAATTCCTTCTGTTACTATAGTTATTCTATTTTGTCACACAAGAGAACCTCTTGAAATAATCCGTGAACAAATATGATCAAGCTGGAAAACAAGGGGGTGGCATTGGATAGAAAGCAGCTGCCCTGCTATTCCTACTTCATCAGACACTCCCGTGTACCATATCCTCCCTTCCCCAGTTGCTACCATGTATATTTCTATGGAATTGAAGTAGTGTTGGCCTTGGTTGTCTTCTGGATTCCTGCCTATGGCCTCTGGTCCTCAGCCTGTTCTTTCTACCTTGCTTCTAGCTCTAGTCTACTGTGCTAGTAACTGCTGGTTATTGTCGTGTTTTTCTTCTCTCCCCTTCCCCACATCCCATCCCTTCTGCTCTACCTCTCCCCCCTTTCGGGATCTCCTCCCTGTGGGTTTCGGTAGGAGAGTGCTGCTCTGGCTGATAGGTTAATCCAGGTACAGTACTTTTTTTTTTCTTCCTACCCATCTTTGATTTTCATTCTGCACTCCATGCTTCTTCCCTTCTGCCAACGCCTAACTCTCTAGTGGTTGCAGCCATTTCTTGGGTTTGTGTGTATGTGAGCAGCTCTCTGGGGGAGAATCAGGAAATGTTCCCATATAAAGGATGGGGGAGGAGGTGGGTTTCACGCAGTGCATGTATTAAGTGTCTCCCCAATTCTAACCAATGGTCATTTGTGGAGTTATTGGGTGCATGATGATGTATTTTTCAGAGTTTCCTGTAGTGATTGTGTGTGTGTGTGTGTGTGTGTGTGTGTGTGTGTGTGTGTGTGTGTCTGTGTCTGTGTATCTGGGGAGAGAGATAGTTTTCCCTTCTTGAGATATGTACATGTTGGGGGTGGGGGAGATAGGAAGGAGGGAGGGATAGAGAAGAAGGGTTCCTCTGCAGGATAAGTATTGTGTGTGTGTATGTGTGTACCTGAATCACTACTCTGTTTCCTCAGCCTGCCCTCTGTCCTCCCATCACAAATATAAAATGCTTCTTATGCCAGTGTTTGGCTTCTAATCTAACTCACCTACCTGTTTCACTGAATCATCTTTTCCAGAAACTTTCTGCATTGAGCCTGGATGAGAAAGTCTATATTTGTTCTTGTTTTTTATGAGGTTGGCTGGGGTGACAGCAGTGTGGTCGTATAATAGACTTATAGAATGGTGGAGTCTTTAGAAAGGACCATTGGGAGTCACCTAGTTCAATTTCCCACACATCCAGTGAAGGAATCTCTTCAAGAAAATGTCCTTGAACTGTGTTTTTGTTCCCGTCAACAGGCTACCTTAGATAAATTTTATCAGCCAGGATAAATTGCCCAAGAGCTAGGGATCCAATAAAATGTATGGATCTGTTTTGCTATCTGCTCCTTCACCTGCCCACCCCCATCCCTATTTCTAAGCCCTTAAAACATTCATTTATTTGCCATACAAGACATAAGGGAAGAAATGATGATCCAGACTGGGACAGGGAAGTGACCTCATGTCTGATATGATTTATATAAACTATAGAATCCTGGAGACCAAGCTGCTAGCCCAGTTTCTCTGTAGCTTCACTTGTGGCTGGATTTTAAATTTCTCAAAGACTAGGAGTGTATCTTCATTTTTATAACCCTTTCAGAATCCTTGTTCTTAGGTACACAATAAATGTCTAGTAAGTAGAATTATTGATGCAGCTTGGGATAACGGAAAGAGCTTTGGATCATGTATCAGGAGACCTAGGGGCCAATCTCAGCTCTTTCCACTGAATTGCTTTGTGATCTTGGGCAAGTCACTGAGGTGCCTTTCAGCTCTTGGTCTATGTTTCCAAGACTTGTTGGGGCCTCAGTTGCTTTGGTCAGTTGGGCAAACATTTAAGTGCTTCCTTACTGCTTCTAAAAGACTATGATTTCAGCACTGTAGATACTCCCTCTACTGATGCAGATTACAACCTCTCCATGCCTTACCAGTCTTTATTATGAGTTGCTGTGGCCATAAAAAAGAAAAGAAGAAAAACTCATGGCCTGCCCGCTAACCTTCTTATATTGAACCTCTTTGACTTGAGCCATGTTGGTGCCTTGATGAAAGACGTGGTCTGTTGCTTGGTTTAGGAGCTGCCAGAGCTTTTGCTCTGCTTGTGTAACCTTCGAGAACCTAGTCACCTGATCTCTGTGTCATCTATGCCTTATCATCTGTAAAATGAGGAGGGTGAACTAGATCATCTCTCAACTTTCCTCTCCGTTATTTCATATGATCCTCATAGCACCCTATGAGAGAAGCCTTGCCACAAAGCAGCAGTCCTGAGGTTGGTGAGGGGCTTCAACATGCTGCTTTACTGACTGTAGTTCCCTGCATTCCCCTGAGGATCCAGAAGAACAGAACCTTTCCTGTTAACAGAGTTAAACGGGCAGGACAGAATTCCTGTTGGCCTGCAGGTGGAGCATTTGAGCCGCAGAGTGTTTGTTCATTTTTTTAATACGGGCACAGCCAGGCCCCTAAGAGGAATAATAGAAGTACCAAGAGGATTAGGATCTTGGGATTCTAGGCTCCTGCAAACTTGACTTGTCTCCTTCCCCACTCCTGCTAGTTTGCTGCTTCTCTTTGGCCTTTCTCACAAAGCTCTTGATTACTACCTTTTCTCCCTCTCTTTTCTTACTCCTTCACCATCTCCCAGCGCCTCATCATGAAGCCTAACCACCCTGCCCGTGTCCAGCACCCTTCTTGTCTCACATCGCCTCTTGGATCCCAGACTCCATCTTTGTGTGGCATGGGGTGGGAACCAAGAATCGGGAAGGGTAGGCTGGGAGGCAGCAGCATGAAGAATCCCTGTATGACTGGACCTCCCTTCTCCTTTAGGGGCAGGTCACCCGAGCCCAAGAGGCTGAGGAGAACTATGTCATCAAAAGGGAGTTAGCTGTGGTGAAACAACAGTGCAGCTCAGCCACTGAGAACCTCCAAAAGGCTCAGAGTACCATCCGGCAGCTCCAGGAGCAGCAGGTAAGCCCCTCATGCCATACCTGGACAGGGAGGAAAAGGGACCCAAGGGGATGCTAGCACTACCCTGGGCAAGCCGGCCCTCCTCAAGGCTGTTTGTGACGTATTTGGGCTGTGTCCCTCTGGGCCAAATATACCAAAAGGAGGTAGATACAGGGAGAAAGCAATGATGCAAATAACCCAGAGGTGCTGTCGAATCCTAGCTGAGAACAAAAAACTCTTGAATTTGGATTCAGATAGCTTGGGCTCAGATCCCATCTCTGCTGCTCGCTAAGTAGCGTGACAGAGTGGGTCGAGTGTGGAACTTGGGCAGGCAGGCAGGCAACAGCATTTATTAAGCACCAGCTATGTGCCAAGCCTTGGGCTAAGTGCTAGGATCACCAAAGGGAAAAAAAAGGCAAAAGACAGCCTCTGCTTTTAAGGAGCTCCTAGTCTAAGGGGGGAGACAACATGAAAACAAGTATGTAAAAATGAGATATCGTTGTCAGCAAGAACTAGATGCAAATCCTAACTCACATATTCACTAGCTATGTGATCCTGGGCAAGCCATTTAAACTCTGAGCCTCAGTTTCCTCATCTGTAGAGTAGGGATGAGAATAGCACCCCTCACACACACACAAGGTTGTGAGGCTCAAATAGCATAATGCATGTCAAGCATTTGCAAACTTTAAAGCATTATAGAACTGTGGCCTCTTATTATCTATGTGACCTCAAACAAGGACCCGCATCTCTGTCAACCTCAGTTTGCTCATCAATTAAATGAGGATAACAGGGTCTGTACTCTGTCCCTCCTAGGATTGTTATAAGAAAAGTGCTTTTCAAACCTCACAACATAAACTGTTACTGATTGGAGAAGTCACTCCACCTCTCTTAGGCTCCATTTCTTCATCTGTAAGATGAGAGACTTGGCCTGCAGTTCTTGTTACAGGGCCTTGCAGCTCTCAATCTAGAGGACTGTTAGATTGGAGCTGGGGTAGCTGGAAGAGGAGGGAGGGGGAGAGACTGACCTTCCCAAGGAAAATGGCTTGGCTGTCTCAGGACACACATGAGAGCTGTGTTGTGATCCCACATCTAGCCAGATGAACTTGAACAAATGGCTTTACCCCCTCTGAAGAATAAGTGTAGTAGTCTAGATGCTCTCCAAGGGTCGTTCTCACACTAGCATTTCATGGCGCAACAAATCAGGTAGACTCAGTGGGTAAAGTGCTGAACCTGGAATCAGGAAGACCTTGGTTCAAGTCCTGTCTCAGATGCTCCCTGGCTGTGTGACTTGGGCAAATCATTTAACCTCTGTCTGCCTCAGTTTTCTCATCTATAAAATGAGGATTGTTATAGCACCTACCTCCTATGGTTGTTGCAAAGATAAAATGAGATAATTTTTGGAAAGCACTTTGCAAACCTTAAAGCACAATGTAAGTGCTCAATAAGATAGTTAATAAGAAACCTGTACGTGGGCTAGGAAGCCATGGAAAACTAGTCTGAGCTATCACTACACACACGCAATGGCCAGCAATTGATTGTGTCCCCCACTCCCTCCAGCTCAAGGAAACCTGAGTCTACACCAGACAAGTATAATCATTCCCCATAGGAGCTCTTATAACCCCTTTGCATCCAAGAGGCTACATGGCAGAGAGAATTTTTTTTTTCACAGTGAGCTGAACAGCATACACAAGAATTATCTTCTTAACCCCCAAAGTCCTATAGCAGCATGGAGATACCCTAGGTTACCAAGGTTACTGGGGAAGCAGTTCCTGTGGAGAAGGGACCAGCCATCCCATCAGCTACTAACTGACCACTACTCCAAGGCAGGCAAGCCAGCCTAACTGAAACAGCGTGGCACCCTAGGGAAGAGATGGGAGGCATGTGCCAAGCAAATCAAATCACACCCTTCCCTTCAGACTCCAGTGAAGATAGCCCAGGACCCTATACCCAAGAGCCTTGGTAACATCAGTGCCCTCCAGACCATCATTTTCACTTCCAGCCCAGCTCTAGAGCTATCACTGTGGAGGGAAAGCAGTAACTGAGGAAAGGGGACCCTATTTCTTCCCCACTATCAACACCAACTGCCTCTAATAGGCAGGTCAACCCAAGATCCTCAGGAGTGGCAGCAACCCTAGACCACTGATTCTGCTTCTTCCCAACACTGCCCCCAGCCCCTCAGCCGTCATCCTGGGAAGCAGCCCCTATGGAGATGTGACCTGACAGGTGCTTCAGCAAATGTGCATCGCCCCCTCCTCAACAACCACAACCCCTGCCTATCAGGGAAAGAAAGTTTCACCGCCAGAGTCCTTGGCACTGTCAAATGGTTCTACACTGAAAACGGATGTGATTTTATCAGTAGAAATGAGATTAAAGAAGATGCAATACTATCTGCTTTGTTATCATACCCTAAGGACCATGGGTCCTTTCCATCTGACTTGCAGCTAGAATTTTCTATGTATTTAATTTCCCCCATTTGAATATGAACAGGGACTGGATTTTTCTGTTTATATTTCCAGCATTAGCACAGTGCTTTGCACGTATTAAGTACTTTAAAAATGCTTTTTCATTCATTAATTTAAAGGCTGTGTCAACAGAACATAAGCTCTGACATCTACTTACCCTGGAAAGGCATTAACTACCTACCGTCTAACTTCCAGGGACCAACCTGGTTAAGTTCAGAGAGGCTTATTACCAGTAGATTGGCTGCCTGATAATGAATCCTTTTGCCATGACAACCCATGAAATGACAAAAAATTTTTAAATGTCCCCCAGTACCATGTGGCCTCCTTCTACTCCTTCAGTGACAGAACGGTGGAAAGGAGAGAAGATGCTAAGAATCACACAGTTTTTAGACCATCTATAAACATTAACTTAGCTATTGGTATTTTAAATGTGAAATCCTTGTCCGGTGACTAGCAAGTAGATACACTACTGAAAGGACTAAATCAAATCAATTTTTACTTTCTTGCCAAAAATGAATCCAGAAGACAAAGGAAGTAGCAGTTAGATGGAAAGATAGCTCATAGGTTCTCCTTAGGTATATAAAAAAGTTAGGTGTACAAAAACAATAAGGAACATTGTTTCATGAGATATTTGACCTCTTATATTGTACTCATGATAAACATTTGCAAGAAGATATTAAGATAATTATAGTTTATGTATCAACATATATTGATGAAATAGAAAAAAATTATCAACTCAATAAGAATTTCCCTTCAATTAATTTTCATATATTTTCATGCCTTGTAACTTTAGTGCTAAGTGGGCATGGGAGACATAGAAAAAAAATTTTAAAGTAAGAAAGGAAAGCAGCCAAAGGGTTATAATACAGAAGTCACATAATAATATCACAAATACTTTCTTTGAGAAGAGAGTCAGGAAATAGTAAACAAGCTGAATGCCAAATAGCATTGCAAAAATGGAATTGATTATATTTTAACGGACAGAAAACAATAGGTTACCTGTGTGGGAGTTATTTCCAAGCCAGCTGTGTGTACAGCCAGACTGTTAATTTGTTAGAGCAAAGATCAAAATCAGCACCACATTAAAAGAAAGAAAAAATGAGATGATAAAACACATTTGGGCCAAGTCTAATCTGACTTAACTAAATGAGCTGTTGATATGGAAAATTAATAAATTAATAATAAAAAATTAGAGAGTAGACATCAACAGTGGCTGTCGCTATTCCTTAAGAAGTTTAACTGATGTAAATCAGTTACCACAGCAAGGACAGCAAGAGGCTCCCTCAACCAGCAAACCTTAATTTCTCTGCCAGGCAAAGAAGGGTTATACCTCAGAGCAATGTCTCCTTAAAATCTAAACTCATTCATAAAGTCATACAGAGGAAGAACAGTATTGTTTCATAAAACAAGAAGAAGCAGTGAAAAGAAAAGCATGTTTACAGGAAACTTGGTGAGAAGTTGAATGAAACCAATCATAATGAGAACATTTAAGTATGAAATCTGAAGGAAGAAAATGAATGGGCGAAAAGCGGAAAAAACCTGTTAAGATTTCTATCTTTAACTCTTCTTTAGTGGTAGTGGAATGAGCACACTTGGGCTATTGATATCACAGTCCCTAATTACATGAATTACTACATGAGGAAGCAGAAATGACACCAAAAACAAAGGCAGAAAGAACAGTTAGACTAGAAGTGTATACAAAGGATGTCTATGCAGGAGGTGATACAATTTTGAAGGTATTGAGAGACTGATCTTCAGGTTGTCTAAAAGGACAGATATAAAAGGCTTGGGGAAAATGTTGGGCTTTATTACCTCAAAAAAGGCATCTGAGAAAATAGTGGTAACTCTCTACCTGTGTTACCAGTTCTACAAAACTGTAGGAGAAGAATCTATACAAACATCAAGAGAATCCTTAAAGATTTGAAAAGGGAGCAGTCTTTCACCAATGAAATTTTCTAGACTACATCTTTACAGTTGACTAAGTGGTCACTGAGCACATGTGCCCACATATACATACAGTGTAAATGACCAGAATTGACAGTAGAAAATATAAAGTCACACGTCTTATTGTTTGACCCGGTACCACAAAATGCCACCTGAAAGGTCCCACTCCAACATTCTAGCTCCCGTGCTTATGTCAAACTCATTCAAGTTTCCTTAAAAGATGTAACAGTGAGATTTCTCTGTTCATACCTCTGATGATTAATGTCAAATGATGCATGAAACAAGACCACATGATCACCAGAGTGTTTGAAATCATTATGGAGAACATCCAGCACAGAGTTCCATTGGAAGAGGGGGTCATTCTATGTGGTTCGAGCCTCTACATGTCCTTGTTGCAGATGACATTGTTCCCATTTCATCGAACCCCAAGACATTTGGGCATCAGCGAGAGAATCACTTGAGTGTTCAGCTTGATCCATATCCGGACAGGAAAAACTAAGTAGATGAAGAGTACCTATTGTCCAGACAATGCTGTATAGTTGTATGGACAATCCATAGAGCTGGCCCATCAGTACATAGGCCTTGGACAAACCCTGTGGATGGACCATGAACTGG